GGGGCTGGGACATGGGAGAGTTTAGGCCCCAAAATTATTGAACTCAATATTGAGTCCGGGGGGCTGTAGGGTCCCCAAACGGAAAATGAGATGTTGTTCCTCCAGCTTGCAATGGGCTTCACTGGAACACTGCAGCAAGCCAGAGACAGAGATGTTGGCCAGGGAACAGGGTGATGCATTGAAGTGGCAGGCAACAGGTAGTTCAGGGTCTTTTTTGCGAGCAGAACGTAAATGTTCTGCGAAGCGGTCGCCAAGTCTACGCTTCGTTTCTCCAGTGTAGAGGAGACCACATTGTGAGCAGCGAATGCGGTAGACTAGATTCTGGGAAGTGCAGGTGAAGTGCTGCTTCACCTGGAAGGTATGTTTGGGCCCTTGGATACTGGGGAGGGAGGACGTAAATGGGCAGGTGTTGCACCTTTGCCGGTTACAGGGCAAGGTGCCGTACAGCTGTGGGGAGGTGTTGGGGGTGAAGGAAGAGTGGACCAGGGTGTCCCAGAGGGAACGGTCCCAGCGTAAGGCGGACAAGGGAGGGGAGGGGAATATGTGTCTGGGTGGTATCTTGCTGGAGGTGGCAGAAATGGTGTCTGATGATTAAAGTCTGAGAAAATTTAAGGGTTTATGGAGGGCATTCCAGAGCTCAGACTTAGACACCTCAAGACATGGCCACCAATGGTAAAGCAATTAAGATTGCAGCAGACCAGGGACTGATCTCCAATACAAAGGCACCTCCAAACCAGAATGAGGTACCATTCTCTGTAAGAGGAACAAACTCAAACAAATTGCCCTGTTGGGGTGTCCTGGTTTGTATAGTATTAATCAAAGCTGAGGAAGAAGTGTAGAGAGATGATGAGTGTAAAAGAAGATACAGGTCTGGAAATGATGATCAGGTGTTGAAGGCTGTTATTGCACAGGATTACAAATTTAGTGATTTCCTGCCCTACTACTTGAAAAGTGAGCAGAAAATGGACCAGCACCAATCATGGTAGATCTGCAACTATTTAATGCTCCATTAAACATTAATTGGCTGGCAAAAAGACTTATACTCTTCACTCAGAAGGAAGTCTGGCCCGAGTTACGAGTTCAGTAGCACCACTGGAGGAGAAACACCACTGTTTCTCGCACTCTGTTTCAGCCAATCTGAAGGGATCTGTAAACATTTTGACTAGATGTTTGATGAATGGTAAACATCTAAAATCACATTATCATATTTTCCCTTTGATGTTGATTAACATGCTGTATATTTTCAACATTTAGCATTTTGGACCAGATTTTCATGATGACAGAGAACATGGTGGAAGTCCTGCACCCACAGAACTTTCCATGTTCATGATGGTGGATTCAGGCCTGATCTTTGCAGGTGCATTTCAGAGGCAGCTGACCATTTAATCATCTGCTGGGTTGGCAGAGAAGGGAAGGAAAGGCAAAGTTAGAGGGCATGAGTTGGCACATTGTAGGAGGTTAGCATAGAGGCTATAAAAAGCCATGGGTTGGCAAAGGGTGTGGGTACATAGACAGATTGGCATTGAGGTTTTAGACATCATTAATGGATACAAAGGCAAAGGGGGTATGAAGGGTGATGGTTTTGATTTCACTAATTTCATTTAATATTTACACAATGCCAATAGCAGGTGTGGCAACCAGCCCATATCTGCAGCCTTTGCTTTCATTCCCGGGTTGCTTGGCCTGCCTCTCAGGGAACCTCACCCTCTCCAGAATGAAAATATAACTTACTAGGCCACTTATTCCTGGGTAGGATTCATAGAGCTGTGAAATGTACCACCTTTGTGTTCCCAAACCAGGAACAAAAATCAGGGCCGCCGTTTCTGATTTCCTGCACACAAAGGTTTCTCTTTATATCTGAAAACCCATGACACTGTGCAGTGTAGTACAAACAGATTTATTAAATGTGAAAATTGCTATGCAACATGGTGCCTATGCTATTATTTGGAACATGATGGGAGTTGCTCATCTCAACCAAAGGAGAAGACTCCCAATCTGCCTTGGCTTTTTTCCTCAATAATTTGTTGGCATAGGGTGCACTCAACTCTCCAAAAGACTGACCATCAATTTAGTTTGGGATCACTTTGTGAAACAAATGATACCTGGAGACCTGCAATTACTTCCAGTTCAGTCTGAGTGCTCTAACCAAAGGCATGTTCCAAGTCTTCTTCAGCTGGAACAGGAATCAAACCAATGCAATTGGCATTATTTTGAACCACAGGCTATTCTTCGAGCCAACTGAGCGAAATGGCCTCATCTGTATGTACACATGGGATGAATTCAATTTCAGACTTCTATGGAGGGCGTGGTAGATCAGTGCAGGTCCTGGCCCATAGCATAAAGCGAAAAAAGGTGACCAAATATGGTAATGTTTAACTGCAATTTGATAGAAATATTTTCAGGTAGCCTTCATCTGATAACTTCAGAAAAGCTAATCAAAGTAACAATGCACCACATTGTGCAGATTGAAGAGAGATTTGCGGTCAATGGGAATGAAGAAGTATGTTCTTTTTTAATTATTATGAATAAGATAAATCTACACATTTTTCTCCCCCCCCGAAAAGGAAGTGATAGCTTCAGACATCAGAGAAAAGAATTTCACTCCAAACACTGGACATATATATGGAACCACAAACCTGTTGCTGCCATAGTCTGTCAGTATTTGATCTGCTGGAGTGTGAACTTCTTGCAGAGTTAAAACTACCTGCTTTAGTTTGATATTGTAAATGAACTTAGGTCCCAAAAACCAAAAATTGAGTTATGTATTATATGGCACCAACTGTAAATTATAACATAAAACAAATGACCGCTCTCAGTGATAGAAAAGCAAAATGATTTTAAAAATCAGAATATACTTAAGCAAAAAACTTCATGCTAATACACCAAGTCACAAAACTAGCAGAAGTCATCACAAAGAGATCCATGCTGGTGTTTCACATTGGAAGAAAAAGCCAACAGAATTCAAACTCTTTAGGAAGATTTATTTTACACAATTTGAAAGGCAGACAACCATTGAAAAATCAACGTCATCAAATGAGATTCCAATATTTTGGTTTAAAAGAATAGCTTTAAATAGCCATCACAATGGGGACAGAGCAGTTTACATACAAAAGGCACAAAAGTGTCGATTTGAACTGACATACATAAATCAATCACTAGAGCCAAATCATTACTTTAATACCACTCTACAGGTAGTACACATTGGCTGGAAATATATTTTTGGCCGTTAGGCAGTAGTGCATATTTATTATCTTGTAATGTATAAATCATAAAATATCATCTTTTTACATTGAACATTTTAATGGAATGTTTCATAACTGGAATTGTACACTGCATTTAAAGCCAACTATTTAAATAAAATGATTAATTTTAATTATTCTTAAACTAAGTAAGCAACATGAAAACACTTGTGCTTGGAGGTCAGATCAATGCTGCTTTGCTCCAGTTACATAGAAAGTAAAGCCATTGTTCTATTGCTTTTATTTTAAAGATCAATATTCAAAACTATAGGATTCAGGAAGATGGTTTCTAAATCACAACTAAAAAATTTCATGAATAAAGAACAACATTTCTAGTGCTTCTGCAACCTGCTCAGTTACACCAGCTTGTAAAGCTATGTCTATACTGATAACAGAAAGTTGAAGTGTCAGATTAGAAGATAATCACCAAAAGGTTGCAGAATTTAATCTGTGCCTGTATTTTATGCTTTTATTATTGGGTAATCACAAGCAAATTTTCCAACTAACAAGCATGTAACAAATGGGAGCATCAAGTAACATACACAGTCATAAGGAATTATTGCTGTGAAAGATCCATGGAATTAATTGCTAGCCAAGCAAGTTTATTGTTATCAACACAAATGAATTTTGTGGCAGTCAGATGGTTCATTCAGTTCAATGGACAGCATTCTGTAGAAGTGTGTGATGCACAGCTCAATTGTAAGTATTGCTTTCTTCCTGTGTAAGCAGCATATTTAGATTTCAACTTAGACCTGAGTTATTCTGACAGAACTTGTTTTCCTGAAGTTGAATTTCTCTGTAATAAAGCTTTTTTGTCTGTGATACATCTGAAATGTAAAAATTATGAGCAATGGATTTTGGAAGTGTTGTAGATATGCATGTATGGTTATGTGAATTGAGAGATCTCTGGTGTTGTCACTCAGTAAAAGCACACTTGAATAATCAGGAATGAAAAATTTCAGAGTAAAAGATGCTGGATATAGCTTTACATCTTGTATCACATGGAGTCTAAATTTGAATTAAGGCATTTCCTTGAATATGAAAAAAAAACTGTGGATGCTTGAAATCTGAAAGAAAAACAGACATTTCTGGAAAAACTCAATGGATCTGGCAGTTCTGTGAAGAGAAAGCAGAGTTAGTGTGTTTTGGACACAAAACATTGACTCTGCTTTCTCTCCAAAGGTGCTGCCAGACCTGCTGAGTTTTTCCAGCAATTTCTGTTTTTGTCCTTGAATATGAACCTTGTCAAAACAAAACCAAACTTGAAATACTCTTTAGACCATTAGAGGCAAGAAGGCAATTCGCAGAGACTCTTAGCTACAGGCGAAGCAATAGGCAGAAGTGAAAGGCAATTTTGTACTTAACCAAAATCATCACAGAATTTAAGTGGCACTTTTCTGCTCGTTCTGTGTTCATAATTTTAGCAGCCCATTTTTAACATACAGCTTCTTCCTTGATTGCTAGAAAAAGCCATTTGTGGTCTGACAGGTAGCAGGTCCACAACTCAACCATGATTATGAGGGGAGAAAGTGGTTTGTGAATATGTTGAAATCTCTAAGGAATATATTAAACCATCAACTGGTAAAGGTACAATGCATCTGGATTCCGTGGCTCTTATACTAGTTAAGAGTATTTTAAACTGGGGTTCCTGTATTTACTACCTTTTGAAAAATATAATTAAGTGCAGTGTCAAATAAAACAAGTAACTCAAACAGCAAATCATCCATATGCACCCATTTTCTTACACAATATTCTTCTGTATCAACTTTTAAAATTAGAAATCAAAGCTGAGAACTGTTGATAATACCAAGGCAGCTTGGTTCTAATGCAGAAAGTACAACAGCAGAAATCAGTTTTGGTCCAATACTGTGATGTGTTTTCCTTAAAAAAAGCAATACAATGGATATTTTAAATATCTTTGTGACTCTGCCATTGACTAAACTTAATATTTGTTGAATTAATGAAAAGGAAAGAATTTAATGTGTATTTGACAGTCAGAATTGCTAGTGTGAATGGTTCATTTTCCATAGAACTTTTTATTTAGTAGGAAAACTAGCAGATTTACGTTGACTTTCGCCTTGCCAAACATCTTCATGACAGCCACACCTTCATACTGTAGCTCCAGCAGGTCCTGTGAAAATGACATGTGTTCATTAAGTCCTTTTATCTTGCAAATCCAAAATGAGCAAACATTATCCACATAACGGTGCAGAGCTGGATGAACACAGCCGGCTAAGCAGCATCATAGGAGCAGAAAGGCTGACGTTTCAGGCCTAGACCCTTCATCAGAAATGGGGGAGGGGAAGGGGGTTCTGAAATAAATAGGGAGAGAGCGGGAGGCGGATAGAAGATGGATAGAGGAGAGGATAAGCGGAGAGGAAACAGACAGGTCGAAGAGGCGGGGATGGAGCCAGTAAAGGTGAGTGTGGGTGGGGAGTTAGGGACAAGATAGGTCAGTCCAGGGAGGACGGACAGGTCAAGGGGGCGGGATGAGGTTGGTCGGTAGGGGATGGAGGTACGGCTTGAGGTGGGAGGAGGGGATAGGTGGGAGGAAGAACAGGTTAGGGAGGCAGGGATGAGCTGGACTGGTTTTGGGATGCGGTAGGGGGAGGGGAGATTTTAAAGCTTGTGAAATCCACATTGATACCATTGGGCTGCAGGGTTCCCAAGCGGAATATGAGTTGCTGTTCCTGCAACCTTCGGGTGGCATCATTGTGGTACTGCAGGAGGCCCAGGATGGACATGTCATCTGAGGAATGGGAGGGGGAGTTGAAATGGTTCACGACTGAGAGGTGCAGTTGTTTATTGCGAACCGAGCGTAGGTGTTCTGCAAAGCGGTCCCCGAGCCTCCGCTTGGTTTCCCTGATGTAGAGGAGGCCACAATGGGTACAGCTGATGCAGTATACCACATTGGCAGATGTGCAGGTGAACATCTGCTTGATGTGGAAAGTCTTTATGGGGCCTGGGACGGGGGTGAGGGAGGAGGTATGGGGGCAGGTGTAGCACTTCCTGCGGTTGCAGGGAAAAATGCCGGGTGTGGTGGGGCTGGAGGGGAGTGTGGAGCGGACAAGGGAGTCACGGAGAGAGTTGTCCCTCCGGAAAGCAGATAAGGGTGGGGAGGGAAAGATGTCTTTGGTGGTGGGGTTGGGGGCTCGGTTCGCAATAAACAACTGCACCTCCCAGTCGCGAACCATTTCAACTCCCCCTCCCATTCCTCAGATGACATGTCCATCCTGGGCCTCCTGCAGTGCCACAACGATGCCACCCGAAGGTTGCAGGAACAGCAACTCATATTCCGCTTGGGAACCCTGCAGCCCAATGGTATCAATGTGGATTTCACAAGCTTCAAAATCTCCCCGCCCCCTACCGCATCCCAAAACCAGCCCAGCTCGTCCCCGCCTCCCTAACCTGTCCTTCCTCCCACCTATCCTCTCCTCCCACCTCAAGACCCACTCCCATCTCCTACCTACTAACCTCATCCCACCCCCTTGACCTGTCTGTCCTCCCTGGACTGACCTATCTTGTCCCTAACTCCCCACCCACACTCACCTTTACTGGCTCCATCCCCGCCTCTTCGACCTGTTTGTTTCCTCTCCACCTATCCTCTCCTCTATCCATCTTCTATCCGCCTCCCGCTCTCTCCCTATTTATTTCAGAACCCCCTTTCCCTCCCCCATTTCTGATGAAGGGTCTAGGCCCGAAACGTCAGCCTTTCTGCTCCTATGATGCTGCTTAGCCTGCTATGTTCATCCAACTCTGTACCTTGTTGTCTCGGATTCTCCAGCATCTGCAGTTCCTACTATCTCTGACTCCATTATCCACATAATGCCAGGTTGTCCATTGCAATAACTGAACAAATTAACAGAGCAAAACAAGTGCAGCTTGTGACAGCTATAATTTAAGCACTGTGCAATCAACATCATATTACAACCAAAGGGACATATTATTTATAGTTGAAATGTTATGGAGCTTGGTCAGTATTTATTACCCATAACTAATTGCCCAGAGGGCAGTTAAGAGTCAGCCATATTGCCGTGTCACATGTAGGCCAGACCAAGTAAGTACAACAGATTTCCTTTCCTAAAGGACGTCCAGATGAATTTATCCTGATAATGGTTTTATGGCCATCATTAAACTTGTAATTCCACACATTTTTTAAAAAAAAAGTGATTTCAAATTCCACCAACGCAAGGTTCAAACTTAGGCCCCCAGAACGTTACCCTGGGTCACTGGATTAAGTAGCCTGGCAATTATGTCATTAGGCCATTGCCTCCCTAGTTTGGTTTAAAAACAATTACATGGCATTAATCTGGAATTCTCTGGTTTATGAACTGAAATCTATTTTTAACAAAGAATTCATAAGGAGAAGAAATTCTCATTCTTTTAAGGTTACGCTGAATTAATAAACTTGACAGGAAGAAAAGACAGAGCTTGATAATAACCTACACTCATTTAAATTTCCTCAACAGAATAGCATGTATCAAAAGTTACCTGAACCTTTGCAGAACTGATTAAAAGAAAGATTAACAGAGTATGGCTGCGCCTATCACATCATCTCTTTTATATTATGCTTAGTAAACAGATAAGTAGGCATTTGAGAAGTTGATAAACCTTTTACAATGAAATAACATTCAAGCAGCAACTGAGGTTCCAGAATAACTTCCCAGTACTGTGCTTTTTGTTTCCCTTCTCTGACGTCCATTATTCGGGAATAGCCGAGTGGAAGAGTTGTGCTTCCCATGGCAAATCCATGGGAGTGGCACTGTGGCATAGTCTCCAACCACTCAGTATTTTAAAAAAACCTGTGTCTTTGGTTTTTTTTGTAAAATTCTGTAGATCTAACGAGGTAAGATTTTGAATTTAGGCTATTTCTGTTACAATGGCACAGGCCCTTGATCCTTAGCTACCGTTGATCTGTCAAATATTGAATCAGCAGTTTAGCTATGTTTATAATTTCCCCATTTTTGAACCTTAAACGCAATGTTCATTGTATAAAAAAGTTTAGAGTAAAAAGTGGCTGCAACAGAACATTTTATAGGAAAAGAAACAAAGGAATTCAACAGTAGAATTGTTACAAACCAAAATGGAATCTGTCTTATGTTTTAAAGTGCTGATCTGCAAAAAAAAAAATCTTTGTTCGGTCCCAGTAAGAACGAAATCTATATTAAATGAATTGGAGTATGTTCCTTTAAAGATATATTGGTACCCTTTCAGATTGTTTTACAGCAGCTCGTTTTGTAGCTTCCATCTTGGTATAAACCTACAAACATAGGTTATGTATCTGACTGAGTGTGAACCAACCCACCACAGGGCTGATGCTTATAAGAAGTAAAGGTGAAGTCACCATAGTCCTACCAGACCACAAGTGCTCTCACATCAGAGAGATGACTGGTGTAGGTTGAGGGTCAGCACACGTCAGGTGTGGGGAGAAGTTGAGAAGGACAGTCCTTCATGATAACCTAAGGTTCATGAGAATGGTCTCAGGAATGGAAAGCTTAACATATGAGGAACGTTTGAGGACTCTGGGACTATACTCATTGGAGTTTAGAAGGATGAGGGGGGATCTAATTGAAACTTACAGAATACAGAATGGCCTGGACAAAATGGATGTTGGGAAGATGCTTCCATTGGTAGGAGAGTCCAGGACCCGAGGACACAGCCTTAGAGTAAAGGGAAGACCTTTTAGAACTGAGATAAGGAGAAACTTCTTCAGCTGAGAGCGGTGAATCTATGGAATTCACTTCCACAGAAGGCTGAGGAGGCCAGGTCATTGAGTACATTGAAGACTGAGGTAGATAGGTTCTTGATTATCAAGGGGATCAAGGGTTATGGGGAGAAAGCAGGAGGATGGGGTTGAGGAACTTATCAGCCATGATTGAATGGGGGAGCTGTCTCGATGGGCCAAATGGACTAATTTCCGTTCCTATGTCTTATGGTCTTATGGTCTTATGTTGTCACTCGCATGTTGGAAGTCACTCTCCCAACATTTTACAATATTTCAGAAGTACCAGACATTGGTTAACTGCCCTGTAATGCATCAAAGTTGGACTTTCAGAGCTGAGAAAACTTCCCTGTTACTACCCTATCTGAAATAGAGATGCTAAAATTAACATTTAATCACATTTCATAATATTGCCAAACTGTACACAAAGCTGCATTGAATTGAAAGTTCCATTCTCTACCTGAAAATGAAGTTGAACTTTTTCCATTTCTACTCCCATGAACTTGGCTTTGACTTCAAAGTCTCCCACTTCTTCACTTGGTGTGATGTCAAAGAGGACATTCTTAAACCTAGCAAAAGAAAGAGCAGAATTGGGAGTTCAAATAACTTCAACAGCTATCAGGAATAATTAATATAAAAAAAGAGGAGATCCTGCAATTTAATAATATTACTAGAATTTGCGTGGCAAAGAGAAATTCTATGACTCTATTCTATAAAAGGAAGATTCGTCTGCAGTCAAACATTTTAAAAAAACTAAATAAAAACCAAAAGAACTGCGGATGCTGTAAATCAGGAACAAAAACAAAGTTGATGGAAAAGCTCAGCAGGTCTGGCAGCATCTGTGAAGGAGAAAACAGAGTTAACGTTTCGGGTCTAGTGACCCTTCCTCCAAACTTATGGCGGCTGGGAAAATGTCAGTTTACATGCAGAAAACAGGGAGGTGGGTGGGGTAGGGAGTAAACGATAGGATAGAGCCCGAAGAGAGAGAAAGACAGTTGGACAGACAAAGGAGTTGCTAACTATCAGGCTGGGAGGGTGAATTGTTGTTAATGGGGACTGTTAGTGACTAACAACAGGGGGTGTGTAATGGCAGGCTATGTGGTAACAAGGCCTGGTGTGTGGGGTGGGGGGCTGGGGCTGGGACATGGAAGAGTTTAGGCCCTAAAATTATTGAACTCAATATTGAGTCCAGAGGGCTGTAGGGTCCCCGAGTGGAAAATGAGGTGTTGTTCCTCCAGCTTGCATTGGGCTTCACTGGAACACTGCAGCAAGCCAGAGACAGAGATGTTGGCCAGGGAACAGGGTGGTGCATTGAAGTGGCAGGCAGCATGTAGATCAGGGTCTTTTTTGTGAGCAGAACGTAGATGTTCTGTGAAGCAGTCGCTTCATTTCTCCAATGTAGAGGAGACCACATTGTGAGTAGCGAATGCAGTAGACTAGATTCTGGGAAGTGCAGGTGAAGTGTTGCTTCACCTGGAAGGTATGTTTGGGCCCTTGGATACTGGGGAGGGAGGAGGTAAATGGGCAGGTTTGCACCTTCGCCGGTTACAGAGGAAGGTGCCGTAGGGCTCTGGGGAGGTGTTGGGGGTGAAGGAAGTGTGGACCAGGGTGTCCCGGAGTGAACAGTCCCTGTGGAAGGCGGACAAGGGAGGGGAGGGAAGGGAAATGTGCCTAGACCTTTCTAGGCCCGAAACGTCAGCCTTCCTGTTCCTCTGATGCTGCTTGGCCTGCTTTGTTCATCCAGCTCTACGCCTTGTTATCTCAGATTCTCCAGTATCTGCAGTTCCTACCATCTCAGAAACAACTTCCAGAATGTGTTGAGCTGTTACTTCCCATTGAATCTGAAAGGGTTTCACAACTTTCTTGACAGTATGTTGGCAACATACATCAATTTCCCTGGTTTGTATTTCACATCCAATGATGTCTCTGCAAATGAAACCACATGCTTTGCAGATAATTTGAATGGTGTGTGGTCCAATTCTACTGTCACTTTCTCTCTCCTGAACAGCTACTGATTAAAATTCTCAAAAGGTAGAGACAATACCCAGGTATTCTTGCTCTGAGCATAGCATCATTCAGCTTCCGTGATGCCCTGTGTAAATACAACTGGTTGTCCTTACTGCATACAAGTTAGTCCTTACAAGTCACTGACTCACTGGCATCACACTGCAAGGTGACTTCATTATTGACATGATACCTAGGTATTGGTGTTGTTAGCACTAGATGTTTGATTCTAGTGAAAGCTGCATCTTGTTCTATTTCCCACTAGCTGTTAGGAAACTGCTACTTCTATCCATCCTCACTTGCTTGTGTCTATCTTTCACAATGAGGGGAAAGACCTTTGCTTTTGAAAGTCATGGCAAAAATTCTTCAGAGGTTAGTGTAGCGACCAAGTGTCTTCAAAACTCTTCAAAGTTTTGCTGAGATCCTTTGGATCTACGTATGCTGTCAGTTTTCCAGGTTTCTTTCATTGTTTCCATGCAGCCAGCCTAGTCTGTAGGAATTGTCAATTTCATGGTTATTCTTTTCCAGTTCTTCCCTCTTGTCTTTCAGGTTGGATTTGAAAGGACCTGAAACCTTCCATGGCAGATGCTGTGTTTCTTGCTCATGCTCACCCACTCGGAGGTGATTTTCACCAGGAAGACTTTCAAGACTTGTAAAAACATTTTTGTAAACTTCTAGGAAATGCTTGGCAGTGGTTTTCCAAATGCCGCAAACCTCATCTGGCATGCTTAGGGTTAATAGTCCAAGCTTTAGACTTGCTTCAGCTGAGAAGAGTGGATTTGAATTAATGTTTACTCTCTGGAACTACAGATGCTCATCCTTCCTTCTGCATTGAGCTTGCAGCTTCATTTATCTTCTTGGCAGGAGTATCGTTCCATTATATAGCTACAACATTACTTGCAGTGGTTTAAGAATTGGTAACAATCTGGTGACCATTTGGTCGCTTTGTATAGGTGTACGATTCTCATGGATGTTGCATGAAGAACCAGTGTCTGACACTTCATATTCTCTTCATCGTGTCCTGCATTCATCATTCCAACACTTACATAGCACTTATCATATTATTAACTCTTGTAGGATGTAAAATAATTCATTAAACTCATCAGCCGATAGCTCTCCAGCCGCATTCTCTCTAGACTTGTCTCTTTCTAACTAAACACTTGCATTTGAATCGATTTGGCTTCTCAAAGTTAGAGCACTGTTTTCCCAATGCTGGGCATACTTCCTTTTTTGTGTAAGTAACATTTATATCCTGGCCTCTAGCTTTGATCTTTATGCTGGCTTTTTTGCAAATATATTTTCCTTTTCTCCCCCTCTGTTGTCATCATTCTGCTTGGAATTTCTCAGCATAATGCAGAGCCTGGTCTGTTTTCCCATTAATATGCTCCAGCTTATAAGTGACAATGTCAGGGCTTCTGCTGTCATTGATTCAGAGATAGTAGGAACTGCCGAAGCTGGAGAATCTGAGGTAACAAGGTGTAGAGCTGGATGAACACAGTAGGCCAAGCAGCATCAGAGGAGCAGGAAAGCTGACGTTTCGGGTCTGGACCCTTCTTCCGAATAGCTTCTGCTATTATTGGTAGCTTTCTTGAGGGGAAGCTCCTTCTCTCTTGGCAGATGTGCTCTCATAGTAGGATTCCTTATGCCTGAGACAATCTTATCTCAGTTTCAGTTGTCCAAACTCTCAGCATTCAGCCAGTTGTATCAGTATGGTCAAATATGGATGACCAGTCTCTCTCTACCCTTGTGCTTTGATGTTGAACACATACAGCTCAAAGTGTGTCTTCAAAGCCTATAAAATCTCTGCTGTCTGGCTTTTCTGCTCATCAGTGAGATCTAAGTTGCAGCTTGTAGCAGACTTTTCCCAGGATTGACAGTAGGGTTGAAGTTCTTATAAGGATAAAGATTTTAAAAAGAATTCTGTGAAATTTCATCATTTTGCACTGAGCGGAAAGAAGTCCAATTCCGCTTCATATCTCCATTCATGTGCACAGTCATCTTGACTCATCCAATACAGGTAATTCAAATTTTCAAGTTGCGTTTTTCTTTAAAACTTTTTCCACGCTGCTTCTTTCATTAGATGGCTCTCTGATAGTTCTGAAAATCCAGAAATTTTTTAAGCCATACCACTCTGACACCATGTTTCCAGTGATGCGTCTCTGATGGCTCCCATAGACTGCATATAAAGTCGCCCACAGCACAACTCAAAGCCACATAGCTAAGGCAAGCCAGTCAGTACATCAAAGGTATGATAGCCTTTCCCTGAGTGAGCATGGTATCGAGTTAAGGACTAACTAGAGAAGTTGGGGCTGTTGTCTTTAGAGAAGGGGTATTTAAAGGAGAGATTTAGCAGAATCGTTCAAATTTATGAGCGGTTTTGACAGAGCAAACAGGAGAAAATACTTCCACTGGCACGTGAGTCAACAATCAAGCCACAGATTTAAAAAAAATTATAGAATAAACAGAGAGGAGAAAGGACAAGAGCTTTTTTTAAAAAAAAAAAAATGATAGCAAGTTATCACCTGATGCATATGACCAGAGAAGGTGGTGGAAGCATTTTCAATAGCAGCTTTCAAAAAGGATATGGATAAATATATTTTTTTGAAAAAAATCTGCAGGACTATGAGGAAGAATGGTGGGTAGAGTCTCATTAAATAGTTCTTTCACACAGCCAGCACAAGCAGGAATGGCTCCCTTCCACATGATGAAAGCTGAGAATTGTCCCTTGTGTTGATAAGCTCCAAAGATCACTGAAAGTTGCCACCCAGGTTGATAGCGTTGTTAAGAAGGCGTACGGTGTGTTAGGTTTTATTGGTAGAGGGATTGAGTTTCGGAGCCATGAGGTC